CTTTTCGCCGTTTCTCCCTATTCTCCAGTTCTCCGGTTCGCATTTGCGACAGCATCTGTGAGCAATGTCTGGCTTATGGTTAGTAAGAAAATGCGTAGCTGCTCTGTAACAATCTCCCCTCTATCTCTGAGAACAGCCAGACGATTTTTTTCGATAGTGCTTCCACAGCCTTCAGTGGGTAACGTAGATAAGTAAATAATGGTATTTGTACAGCACACCGAATGGCGTTGTGTAAATCGAGGTGTGATCGCTTTGATGAAATAATTCAAAAGGCAATGTTTGACCTGGGGGATATTCAAAATAGCAAACTTTTTTTATTACGAAATCTACGAGCCGGAAGAATGCCTTCTGTTCTACCGATTGGAATACTTTCGCCCCTCCCATAACCAGTTACCATCCCCCGGCTCACATTTGCTTAGTCGTACCATTCAGCACTAAAAGCTCCGTAGAAAGCTTAAAGGCAGCGACTACGATAGCTTCAAGAAGGCTTAGGGGAGACGTGGTGGTGCTCAATGGTACGCTGGTGACGAAAAAAGGAGAAATCCGTAAAACGGGACCCCCTTTTTTGGCCGTTGGTTTTCACTCATGAACAGGTAACAGCTCAGAAAGCGGACGTATGAACGAGTTCAGCGCAACGCGTTTGGTGACACCATGCCAAACCACGCTCCAATCGAGTTGCTCCAGTTGTGCCGCTGCTGGCAACGCAGCTCGTCCAAATCACCAACTAAACTAGTGGGCGGATCGCTTTTGGGGGCGGAGTGCTTTCGAAGTCCTGCTCAGCAACCAGCGACCTTCCGTCGTGAAAGCGCTACACCTCGCTTCCCTGGCAGCCAAGTAACTGATTCGTGTGGTGCATATGCTTCCCCGATGCGCTCTCCACTTTATCGTAATCGCTGCCTTTAAGACAATGGTGGAGATTGGTGCAGTTCTTGTGCCACTAGGTTTGCTCAATACTATTAGCGTCAAGCGTACTTTCAAGTCCCGTTCGATCATTTCCCTGGGCCCACAAAAAAATTGATTTTTGCCTTCTGCCTTTTGTGCTATCACACCCCATTCACGTCACGCCATCCGGAGTCAGCGTTGTTTAAACACCTTTATTTATTTATTGACTTTTGCCATGAAGGGTTCGACGGTATTTGGCAGTTCGTCGTGGTGCAGTGAAGGTGCGTATATTCCATAAGATCGCACACTCTTGTGTGATCACTAACAATAAGTCATTATGTAGATCCAGATTCTGCCATGTAGAAGAAAAAAGAGAATATGTGGAAGAGAAAGCGAAAAGAGTTGTATCTCCAGTCTACTAGGAAGATTAGAGTACAGTGGAAGCGCGTAAGTGACACTTCGAGAAATCGGTGAAAAATGTTAAAGGAATCTTCCGCGGAAAAAGCTCCGCCTCCATTACCACAGAAAAACGATACCCCTTAGGCCCCTAGCCTCATGAGCATAGCAAAAAGAACGGAACATAAGCGTTAGTTTCGATAATACTAATCCTACACACAAGACAAAATGATCACTCTTTCCGTGGAAGATTCCTTTAACACGTTGACGACCGTGTGGTATGATGTCATACCACACTCTTTCGGCCACGTGGGACCGTGTGACATGATGTCATGTCACAGTCTTTTTTAAGCTGGTTTTCAAACATTTTAGGTAACTTATTTACGTGATGTATGCGCCATACTTAGGCATTGTTACAAAAGGCGTGGTCCTGGAAAGAAGCTTCGGTTGATGGGCTATCGAGTGAGGTTTTCAAAATGGGTGGATTGGGGAAAATAATGACCAAATCACAGGAATCGCTAAAATGGCCAAAATCGCATAATCGGAGACCTACCACACAAGAAAGATAACAAATACACACTTCCTGAGAAAAAGGAGTTCTCGTGGGACCGTGTGACATGATGTCATGTCACACTCGCGCGGTCAAAATAATGCGCGCGGTCCCACACGCCAGACAGCGAAAAATGGCGCAGGTCGGTCAATGTTAAAGGAATCTTGCGCGGAAAATTCTTGCACTCTTTCCTAACATGAATATGTCAGTTGTGATCACTGGAAATAGCACACAAAGTTTCACGCATGAAGATTCGGTTTCTGAAGAGAAACAAACGTACAAAAACTACACGTTATGGACCATCGAAGGACCAGGAGGCAGAGCCAGGCGAGGCATGGAAGAAGACGGCGTTTGGCCGGCTACGTACCAGGCGACGCAATGAGAGAATCGGGTTAAAGCGCGCGATTTCGGAGAGTGGAGACAAATCGATCGATGGAATAGGATGGAGTAGAAGTGTAAGATGTGAATGCAACGAAGCAGAAGGCCAGAAAGAGCTTCTAGTGAATGCACTCCAAGAACCAAGTTTGAGCATCCCCGTCGCCAGCATTCGTGAAAGACGTCCGTGGGGCAATTCGAACGCGTAGCAGCCTTTTCGAGTTTTCGAATTTCTAATCAAAACGAAAGCAATACTTCAGTTCTTTTCACTATTATCGTGGATAATGAGTCTCAAGCCAGTGATTTATGGCTGAAATAGAATCATGATTTTTCCGCGCAAGATTCCTTTAAGGATCGTTTCCTGGGGGGTAAGGGGGGCGGAGCTTGTTCGTGAAGGATGCCTTGACTAGTAGGGAGAAGTACAGTATTCAGTGGAATTGGTTCATGCCGAAAAGATGGGCTACGAATTCGTCGAGGAAAGCCTCCGTACACAAGATCGCTTGACCGGTGAACGACGATAATTTGGGTAGTTCAGGCTTAGAAAATGTGGGCAGCATGGGAGTCTAGATAGTCCCTACGACTAATTATTCAAAAATGGAAAAGACAATGTATGCGGGTTTTGCAACAATTGTTCTCGGAAAAATGGACAATATCCGTTTTTTATGAGAGATATTTTTCCCATTGCGGCCATACAGAGGGGGATCGCTCTTTATGAATTTTTTTTTGCTTTTTTCATGAACTAAAATGTTTGCGTAGATTTTTGGTCATAAAAAAATACAAACGTGCAGTAGCGGGCAAAAAAAATGTATGCGGTTTTTGTTTTCTGACTGCAACTCCTTTCGACTTCAATGGATCCTTCTAGGTCTGATTATGGTGTGAAGGAAAAGTTCTCTAGTTTGGTAAAATGTCACGGAAACCAGAAGCGCTCCGGTGCAGACCCCATAACGGCCTCCAAGCAAATCTGGTAACTAGTGATTCATAGTGATAGTTGATAGTTGGATGAGAGTTGTAATTAGTGACAACTGATAGAATACAACTGCAACAGGCTAATCATTTCATTGGCAGAAAACATTACATTTTGTGAGGCCGTCGTCACTTGTGGTGTGTGGTCTGCACTCGACACCTTCTGGTTTTCTAAAGCAGAGTATGAACATGATTTATGGGAAAAGAACTAAAGATAGGAAGGACCGTTTCACTCAAATTCCTCAAGGAAGCATGATTCCGCGCAAATTTCAAAGAGTTCCAGATTACAGCCCAACGGAGCGCACCGCTGATTTGCATCTGTGTGGCCGCGTGGTGCACACGGTGAAGCACGGGGTCTAAAGGGTATTCTCGACATTTTCTCATGTCTCAATCTAGTGGTAATGAAGATCTGAATCCGGAGAATAACAGTCTGAACTGAATTAGTGACAAACTCTCTAAATTCTGCGGTATGACCAATAGCAAGGGCGGAAGTGGTGGAGCGGCAGTGGGGCTGGCTACCAGCGCACGATTTCGAAAGGGAAGTCGTGGATCGTACGCTGCCCGTCCAAAAACGTATTCCACCCACCGGAGTTGCTCAGTTATTTCATGCTCCTGGCTTGAGAAGAGATAAACCTGGCTCGTACATCAGCTGGCCTAGCAAGGCATTGTATAAACCCATGGTAAGTGAGTTCAGGTCGCCACTACGATTCTGAACAGAAATAGATAGCGCGACGCATAACAGAAGGATTGATCAACGCCGAAAGCTTCATCCTCTTCCCCTTTATCCTCAGTAACTTCTTCGTATCATATCGAATCACTCGTGTGGGCGGTTAGCTTCTGTTTCTCTGGTCCTTACTGTGTTGGCAAATAGATGTGATGTTGAAGAAATAAGCTCAAGATATACTTTATTAATGTTCGTTGAAGCCACTACCATGGACAAAGTCCAGATGCTGCAAGACACTTGTCCTTTCCGGCTGGACATGCATCGCAGGCGACTCCCGGCGTGTAGATGCTTTCGTCGATAGTGTTGACGCTTAAGAAATAACGACTAGCGATTTTTGTGGCTGAGAAAAAAAGAAAAAAATCTTACAAATCTTGGTACATGCAGGAAATAAAGTAGAACGATCCACAGTAATTCGCAGCACATCCAACTTGCTGGTTCCTTGCCCAAATCATCTGGAAAATGTTGAAATCGCTAATGTTCAGCAAGACCTTTGGCACATAAAGTCATCGATCGCGCTGGCTAAGAGAAGAATTGCTCAGAGGTATCATAGGTGGAGGGCTAGAAGAAGGGCGTCAAGAACGCCGTGAAGCCACTAACCACGACGCTCCTTCCAGCCATTCGTTTCCAAGTAGTCACCAACTCTCAGCCGCTGTCTTTGTGCACAAATGTACAATAGCGGTCAAAAGAGTTCTCCGAAAAAGCTTCTGTGCCTAATTTCCACTCCTCTGTAGAATTTGGTGAAATAGTGATATGCTATATAACTGCGTAACTGGTAGCGCACTTGCCCGGAAAGCGAGAGGTGCGGGTTCTAGTCCCGCCTGGGGCGAAACTTTTGTTCACAACCCAGTTTCTTGGGGTACCCCCAGGAGGCCCGTCGCGCGGCAAGAAGGCAGAGTCGGCGGACGAGTTGCAGCGCGTGGTGTGCGATGTAGGCAGTGGGACACTCTATTTAACTTGACGCGAAATCCCTATAGTACGCGCGCGACTCGTCCGCTGACTTTGCCTTCTTGCCGCGCGACGGGCCTCCTGGGAGGGTACCCGCATTCTTGTGAAACATTCGCAACGCGAACTGCGGCGTTAAAACAGCAGTTTACAAACAAACAAACATATGCTTATTTTGGTGTTTTCTAATCCTCGAGAGTTGACGGCCTTAGATATTCAAAGAAAAATTGCAGTGAAACGTGGTCTTTTTTTTTAAATGGTACTGCGCGAAAAAGCCATTTCGGCGAATTCTTTTGACCGCACTGTGGTACATAAATTACTTGGGTTTTTCGCTTCAAAGGTGACAAACTCGTCCAGTAAGTGGGACACTTGAGGCCAGTCCGGTGTTGATTCCGTTCCCGATTCCTGCTCACTGCATGACATCATTTGCTGTTCCCTTCCCCAGACCTCAAGGAGTGGAGAGTACCATTTTTTTGTTGCGATGGCCACTGGCAGTTCGTTTGTTTGTCGCCATGTGCAATTTGACAGCGGGGAATGTTAGCCACAATGCTGCGGGTGTGAATTACTCCTTTCAAAAGGTCATCACAAGAGGCGGAAGTGATTGCCGCGACGTAGCGAGCCGGGGCATCTGTTGTTCAGGGTACTGCAGTGGCAACAGAGTAGGACATAACATATTCAGTTCATCTTACTCTATTATTATTGGTGTTACTTCAAGTCGAACACAAGCCTATGTACGATCGAGTAGTTTGAGGTTTGATGGCAGCGTGACTGCCACCTCACTGAACCTCGAAGCCTGTCTTGGTTCCCATGTTAAAGACGGGAACCAATAAGGCTTCGAGGTGAGGGTCTCGTTATAAACGACTTGGAGCAGGGTCAACCCTATGTTGCTACAAGTAGCAACGGGGGGGTCGTATTTTGATGAGTTTGTAGAGGGGGGGTCGTACTTGCTTCGGTTGTAAGAAGTTGCATGTGATGAGTGGGGAGCGGCGCGGGAGAAAATTTGCCGTTTCAGCGCGCGTATATACCCTCCCTAGAAAATGGAGCAGTTGAAATATGGGTAAAATACACGGAAATTGTAGGGAAAGTGTAGGTATGTACTCCCTCCCCTCCGCGCTCAACGGTAATTTTTTGGGGTAAAAATGGTATTGGGAGAGGGGGGTCGTAGAAACATTTTCATGAGGGAGGGGGGTCGTAAAAACTTTTTGAAAAGTAGCAACGATAGGACCGACCCTGCTTGGAGGAATGTTGGAAAAGCTTGAGTTCCAGCAGAAGGCCATGAAGTCGCACTGTATACTTCAGTTTTCGGTCTTGATGAGTGGGCCGCGGTTTAGCTCATTGTCAGCAAGAAATTAGCAAACCTTAGTCATTTTCCTCACAATCCTTGTTTTCGCTTGGCGCATATACCTCCTGAAGATCATGTCCTGGGGCAGTCCATTATACGCAAGTTGGGTTTGCCATTTTGAGATCGCCTAAGTCGTCATTATAATAGAGTGGGAAGAAAAGACGAAACAAAGAGAAGTTTGTTCTCGTTTCAGCCTACCGCCGTGAGAGCTCCCATATTGTCTACATAGGTATTGTAGTAAATGTAGTAGTTTTCTTTCCAGCCTGGTCGTGAAGCAACTGGTGACAGTTGCCGATCACATGTGAGAACATGGTAATAAGCATACCGTTCCGCATCGCAGCTATACTTCTGAATTATGGTCCATTCAGTGAGAGTTATCCTTGTTTACCAAGTAAATTATGCAGCTAGTTGACGTTACCAAGGAGTACATAAGCGTCGCTTGGGGTGCAAAGGACCCACTGTATCCATTTCTTGCCCGCCCCATAGCTACGTAGGCCCTAAACAATTTGGAACTAGCCTTTAGGGGAACGAATTATAGTGTTCATCACCATACCTGAAGTTGTTGTGCATTGTCAAAGCGGTGTCTCTGAAGATCTTCGAGAAGGGAGTTCCCGGACATTGAGTGGGTGCTGGAATCAACAGATTTGACGGCAACCGAACTTCGCAGTAATTCTTCTCATAATCAGAGATGTAACCATTTTTGGTGGACTATAAAATTATAGTTTAGTGACCCGAATTTCCTACCTAAACGCAGTCGAGAATTGGTTTTCGTTTTCCCAGGAACATTTTTAGGAACGATGAAAAAGGCCATGTTGCCCCCACTAAAGAGACGCATATTCACTAAAACCTCGGAGAGATGTTCAATGAAAATGACTGGGCACAAATATTGGACAGAAAAGGGCCGCACAGAGGCTTTTCAATGCGCTTAAACTGAAAAAATGGCAATGTTGTTCTGAGGCACCATTGTTATAAGAGGACAAGTTGCCACTTACGGGTTGGAGTCGTCGTAGTGCCTCCTTGTCCGGCTTGTCCGGCTTGTCCAGCTTGTCCCGGCTTGTCCGGCTTGTCCGGCTTGTCCGGCTTGTCCAGCTTGTCCGACTTGTCCAGCTTGTCCGGCTTGTCCAGCTTGTCCGGCTTGTCCGGCTTGTCCGGCTTGTCCTGCTTGTCCAGCTTGTCCGGCTTGTCCTGCTTGTCCGGCTTGTCCGCTTGTCTGCTTTGTCCGGCTTGTCCGGCTTGTCCTGCTTGTCCGGCTTGTCCGGCTTGTCCTGCTTGTCCTGCTTGTCCAGCTTGTCCAGCTTGTCCGGCTTGTCCGGCTTGTCCGGCTTTGTCCTGCTTGTCCAGCTTGTCCAGCTTGTCCGGCTTGGCCGAGATTGCTGCCGGGCTTAGTCCGGCTTGTCCTGCTTTCCCTGCTTGTCCGGCTTGCTCTGCTTGTCCAGCTTGCCGGCTTGTCCGGCTTGTCCTGCTTGTCCGGCTTGTCCTGCTTGTCCGGCTTGTCCGCTTGTCCGGCTTGTCCTGCTTGTCCGGCTTGTCCAGCTTGTCCGGCTTGTCCGCTTGTCCAGCTTGTCCTGCTTGTCCCGCTTGTCCCGCTTGTCCGACTTGGCCTTAAATGAAAAGCATTTGTTGGTTTTCGCGAATAACTTGGTAGTCCTATCCTGCTTCACTTACCCAGCACCATGTCGCACTGTAGAAGAAGGAATATCAGCTGAAAAAATTGCATGAGTAGTGCAAGGAGTTACACAGATACTTATTATAAGCAACTTACGGAAGCAATTCCGAAGGGCGACATCCTCGATGGCTGATGAGCGCTGACCGTATGGAGCTTTTAAGCATGGCCAATTTGCACTATGACAATGAGCCCCATACGATCGTTGACGTTGCTTCGCATCCATAACTGAGTGCAGCTGGATATGGTAGTCAATAGAGTGATGTAACTGTTATGTACACTTGCACTTTGATAGAGGATTAACTAAATTTTTCAATAATTGTTAAATAGTTAGCCCGAGGAAATTGGAATTCGCTTGCTTGAATCGCTGCTGACTGTGCTCAATATACGACAAAACATGGAAAACTTGATTATTGTTCTTTCTAAATACTTCCTCTTATCTCAAAAGCAGCCGAAAGGTCGTACAGATGATAACATCAAAAACGATAATTTGCCAACGAATTACCAAAATGAACCACCTTTTTGAATGTACTTTTTCACACTGTTTCACCTTTTCCACTACTTCCCGTTTGTGGTCGGAAGTACTTCAGAAAGCGCACCTCGCCAAGGGCACGAACCACGGTCAAATAATGGATCTTAGGCCGTCTGAGTCAGCCTGGCTTTTCGACCCTCCTCGGTCGTCCATTTAAGTATAGTAGTTCTTACTGCTTTCACAATGCCATTACGATTCTGTATGGAAATGCATAATGCACAATGCCAAAAGCTTCGTGAGCTCTACAGCAACTTTACGACCAGAATCTCACCATTCTACAAGGAGGTCATCATCGACGTCAAGAGAGGGGTTCGACAGGGCGACACCATCTCGCCCAAACTCTTCAGCGCCGCTCTCGAGAACGTCATGCGTCAACTGGAATGGGAAGACATGGGAGTGAAGGTCGACGGCCGGCAACTACACCACCTTCGTTTTGCTGACGACATCGTTCTTATAACGCCGAACATCGAGCAAGCGGAGCGAATGCTGGCTGATTTCGACTGCGCCTGTGGTAAGGTCGGTCTACAGCTGAACCTAACGAAGACGATGTTTATGAGAAACGGATTGGTTCCTGATGCCCCATTCACGCTCGGAACGAACACCACCGAACGCTCCAGCTACGTGTACCTAGGTCGGG